GTGTCACCTGCATCCATGTCACCCACATCAGTGTCACCTGCATCCATGTCACCCACATCGGTGTCATCTGCATCCATGTCACCCACATCCGTGTCACCTGCATCCATGTCCCCCACATCTGTGTCACCTGCATCCATGTCACCCACATCTGTGTCATCTGCATCCATGCCTTTTCCAGCTAGTGACATCTTTTCTCAGCATGTGACAAGTTGAGATGTATAGATAAGATTCATCTGTCTTAAAGGAAGGTGTCACCTGCATCTGTGTCACCCGGGTGTGTCACCTGCATCCATGCCTTTCCTAGCCTCCAGGCAGAGCCCAGGCTTTCCTCCTGCAGACCTTGAGCAGCGCTCCCCTCCTCCAGCTCCCCCTGCTGCTCTTTGTAAGGACCCCAGATGACCCAGGGCTGTCTCTTCATCTCAAAGTCATCTGATCAGGACCTTCACCTCCCCTTTGCTGTGAAAGTCACAGAGTTGTGGGCTCTGAGGATCAGGACCTGGATTCTGTTAGGGCCATCATCACACTCCGTACTGAGGTGTGGTCCACCCTCAGAGGACAGCTGTGACGGCAGATGGAGAGGTCAGCAGGGCCGAAGCCCTTCCTCTATCAAACCGTGGGAAACTAGGACAGTCCCCAGGAAGTAGTGGCAGCCAATTCCATGAAATCTTTGCGTAGTCAGAATACACAGAGATGAGGCTGTCATCCCATATCACAGGCTTCTTTAGAATATGTGGATTCCAAGACACCTACCAGGCCTGTCTCTGGCTTCACCAGATGCCCCCGCCCCTATTATGAGCACAGTGATCACAGAGGGACAGGGGATGGACCGACAGGATGTCCAGTCGAGAACGTGTCTTGGGCCTCTGGATGTGAACCTGAGTCAGTGACCTTCCTGGATCCTCACACTAATTAATGTGCTCAGGTCACATGACGATGGCAGGAGAATGGGGTGGGAGTGTGTGCAGACACCTGCCCCGATGCAACTCCATGAAGAAACAGGATGATTCAGGCCAAGGGCTGAGAGAACAGGTCCCAAGTGGGGACAACTGTAAAGTACTAATGCTGCAGTGAAGTGGCTCAGGGACAGCTGCTGCCCTCACCCCTACCACAGGCAGACACTTCTGGGAAGAAGGGAGGGGAGCAGTTCAGGGACCAGGCTTCTCTTCAAGCTCCAAGGGCATCCCTGGACTCTGAGCTGCCATCTATTGCTTCATTATATGCTCTGTTTTTTGGAAAAATCAGAGAGTTTGACTGAAAGAAAGTATAAACTTAAATCTGTTAGCTCATGCTCTGGGTCGTTTCAGTACCATGCTTGCTAGTATTTTCACTCTCTGTTGTAATTCCCTGGACGTGCCCAGTATTCCCACAGACACATAAAGTGGAATTTTCGATTAAAGTCTAGTCATTAATACATCCTTCCCCCATTATTTTAAACTTACAGCAATCAAGCTTGCCACTTCCATAAGATCTAAGCAAAACCCACAAAAGTAAAAACTAAACAGTCCATTACCAATTATGTCCCTGGGGGTGTCCCACATCTGAAAAGTAAGGTTTGTTCATAAATGGGACAAAAGGCTAGTTTAAAATAGAAGTGATAGGTTGAGTGCTAGATGCTGAGGAACTGGGGTGATTTCTGATACACACGATTTACTCTATTTGCCAAAAATCAGAAAGATATGAGTGGACCGAGGGACAGATGATAAAAAGAAACGTGGTAAAATATTAACAGTGGGAATTGAACTGTTTATTGCAAACTCTTTCACCTCTGCTGTATATTAGAACATCATCATAATAGAATGTTGAGATGCATAGATGAGATTCATCCGTTTTAAATGAAGATGTCACTTTACCACTTTATATCTTTCAAGGCTTTATGAAAATTAATTATTTAGGCAGTAGAGTCTCTATGAAAGACATGAAAACTTTATTTTCTACTTCAATTTATCATAGATCCTTACATGAAATCTGGCAAGAAAGACCATACTACTCAGCCACACTCACCTGTCAAGTGGCACAGTCGTGTGGGGTCCTGCACGACAGTGACCACACCACCGGTTAGCTCAGTTTCCTTTGGAGGTGAATTTAGGGCATGGAACATCCCCTTAGGCAGAATGTTGCTAGTTAACTTACGATAGAGAATTCTTAAGACCCTGGTGAGTCTGGTCAGTTAAAATCACTTGCTACTCACTAAGATCTAGTTCTTCTCATGGGAGAGAGAGCGAGAGAAAGGGAAAGAGAGAGCCAAGGAAGTTGATGTTGTGAGAGATTTTTCTAGTATGCCACTTGCCACCTATGTCACACCACAGTCTTACCCCACCGGGGCAGTAACAGCGCCCACGGCCCTCAGGCCTGTGTACCACCTCATCTAACGTCAAAGCCCCCCTAAGGCAGGCACATCTTTTACTGCTCTCCACACTCAGGGACACAGGGACTCACTACCTGAGTCCTGGGTTACCCAAACTGCTTAGCAGCACTGGGAACCAGCCCAAGGGCCTGACAGTACCCACACTCCCAGGGTGGGCCTCAGACCGGAAGCAACCACCATCACCTGTGAGCCTTCAGAACTGCAGTCTCTGGCCCGCCCCAGACCTCTTCAGACAAGGCCCAGGAGCACTGACACTGACATCAAGAAATGCAGACAGGACCAGTTCCCCTGCCACCACCACAGTAGCTCTCACGCTGCGTGATCATAGCCAGCTAGAGAGCTGATGAGAACACAGGATGTGGGACCCTACCCTAGACTGCTGGCTCAGAAGGACAGGGCTAGGGATCCAGTAACTTGCCTTCCCCGCAAGCTCCTGGGATTTCGACCTGCAGGCTGGAGCCCACGCTCTGCAAGCACCATGTGCTGCTATGTCACCGCCCAGATGCCCCTCAGTGGCCACAGTCACGAAAACACATCCTCGCTGAAAACTTCCGGGCTGGTAGACTGATGATCAAGGCTCCCAGAAGGTGACCCTGAAGCATGTCTCCATTTTACATTTTTTTTTGCTTTTAGTGGCATTGTGATTTCTCTACAAATGTGCCATATTTCATCTGAGCTAAAAAAAATTAAGCATTATGCAACTTTAGAAGCTATAATTGAAGAACCTGCAAAGTCTAATTGTTTCCTCTTTTCCATTTTAATCTTGTTT